TATATATATATATATATATATATATATATATATACATGAGATTAAAGAAGCCTGTAATGCAGTGGTAACTAAAACTTTCTTGACAATAAAAACTTGAAGCTCCACTTCTGTATCCACATAAAGATATACTCAGACGAAGCAAAAAATTAGCTTGCTCCTGTACTCCAAATGCATCTAAACTTGCTTAAAATAGGAAGAATACTTAAAATCCATGTCGAAAAAATCTTAAAAATGACTTTATAATTAAAGGTCTAATCAGAAACAATTTGCTTCCTGACAGTCAACAGGTTTCCTACTACAACGCAAGCCTAGATAGAAGTGGAAAACTAGATGACTAACTGGCTTCATTCTAACCCAGAATTGGCACCAAAAAGAGTGAGATTTAATGCTTTAAAAAAAGTAGCAAATAGAAACTTCTATTTATTATTCAGTAATAAAAATGAGCTAAACAGCCAAAAACTTTAGATGATTCTAACATTTACCTGTAGTATTAGTAACGTCAAAAATAGTTGGACAAACTTCTCCCGCTACAACATTAATAGGCCTTGTAAAATTCATGTGAATTTGTATACAGCCATAATAAGTACGCTGTGGAGATGAAGAATCCTGCAAAGTTGCAAATTCATTAGACCTCTGTACCAATATAATCTGAGCTACACCAACAAAATTCTATTTTTTACCAGAAGGTCCAAGCTTAAATAATAACCGTATTGGTAGCACTTTCACTGCTTGTTTCACTGTCAGGAACTGCCTCCTTATCATCCATGTACAGCTGAGGGTAAATGGACGGTATTGGCGACTGGGAATAAGAATCATCTGATTTCGTAGTTTTTAACGTATCCTCGTATGATTTACAATCAAGAGTTACCAGAGCTTTGCATTTATCGTGGCAAGTATAGTTACAATCTGTAGAAAAACCTCACAGCTAAATGCAATAAGAAGCAACGCAGAATGAAAATCACTACAAATTACATGTACCAAGAAAATTTAAACTAACGTTCACATTTTACAGCATCCGTCAAAAACCCCCACATAAAATCACCGCACTTATCGCACCAAGTTGGATGAGATACAGACAATTCTCTAAATTATTTTTCAAAATAAGAGAAAAACCAAGAAAAAGAATACGAAAAGTTTGCCTACAGGGTAAAATATAGCCATGTAGATACTACGATGACAACTCAGCAGAAAACATACTTGAAATGATGACCTCTTCCCGGATCTTGGCGTTCCAAATGTAAGTTGTTGAGAGGTCCAAAATGCTGGATTTTCAAGCTGTCAATCGGTTCGTCCTCACCATAAAGAACAGGAGAGCCAATGTTCCAATCCTGCAATCACTCAGTTAAGCAGTTTCATCCAAAAATTCTCCCACATATGAACTAAAAATCTGGTTTTAAAAGTTATACCAATATTAAACTTGCCAAAAGTGTCCCATTGTCAGAAGTTTCTGAAGTACTGAGCGATATCGCATCACGATCACAGATTTTAGCCAACGTATCAGAACAGATCGGAGAATCTGACCTCATATCAGGCGCGCATTCTGCTGCTGTTGCTGACTAAAAACCGCGCTGATGCAAAAGATTACAGAAGAAGAAACTACCATTTTTCAAACTGTTTCTTCAAGTGGATCCAGCAAGTTCACGTTTAAGATCCGCCAGATAAGACACGAATTAAAACCTTACTACATTCTCACATTTACAAGAGTTTGCTGCAGTCGGAGATCACGCAAGCGAAAAATTGGACAGAATGAACAACAAAAACAGGTCCTTTCTGGAACGCCATAAAAAACTACATGGATAAGCAAAGTAGGGACCAAACCTCTCCAAAAACATTTGCCATTTTATTACCGTATCTTCTGCTCAAGCAGGAGACCGGCCACTCAGTACTAAACCAAGCTGCTAAACCACAAGCAAAACGAGTACAACAAGGAGCAGAATGACCTGGTAACAGAAATTGTTTGGTAAAAAATAGAATGACGAGGACTAGATTGAGCAGAATGTCAGTCTTTCAGTGAATCAACCGGTGGCACTTAACGTCGACAGTTCTTAAGCAATGACGCAAAACATCTTAGCAACAACGCTTCATGAATTTGCGCATATCTTCTTCCGACTAGTCTAAACATACCAACTAGTATACCTCCCCTAGCAAATTACGCAAAGTCAGGAAAATGGCCTCAACGAACCGCTTCAAAGGGTTGAAAAAGCCAACAGTCAGCTGCGCGTCGCCTTTCAACGGCGCCATTGCCCAACCCTTTACAGCAAACACCGCTGCCACCACCAACTCCTGAAACCTGTCTGTTTGTCTGTTCCATCAACATATAAGCATTTTATGCTGCATTTGCAGCTTTTATCGGCTATACGTCTTAAAAGTGCGATACAACAATCAGTATGGCATCAAAAGAGGCACAAATACAAGGCTACAGTTTCTGTTCTACAACACTGCTGGGACTCGACACTATTTCAAGAAGCAGGAACGATAATACAGAATCACGAAAAATATTCCAGGAAACTTCTTCACAGATAAATGCACGTTGTGGAATCAAGCTGAACTCCTCTGCAGTTAATTGCGAATAGGAAGCTCATTCATCAACTAATCACTTTCTGGGCGGGTTAAATATAGAAGATTAGCATCACGACAGGGAAGCTTTAATTTTTTGAACAGATAGTTGCTGATTTTAGTAACGTAGAACAATTCCAATAAACTGGTAAACTAAAGCAGTTTTTTTGCGCTGTATCAGCTCATTTAATCAGAAAAAATGGAAGGCTGGAGTCAATTAAGACAGATGACAATAATATTTGGACTGTTAAAAAGACCGAGCTTTTAGTAAAACAAACCTAGATAATTTGTAACCGAATAACAGAGAAATTATGTTTTTAGGAGATAAATCGAAAAAAATATAGGAAAACTATGAGATATTGGTGACTGGATGTGAATATTATTTCAAATACAAGTCCCACCGTGTAGCAATTCTTATCAAGTGTTGTTGGACAAAATCCTTCTCCAACTACATAAAAAATGAAATGTTGAGTAACTGGAAAAGTCATTTTAATCTATTGAAGTAATGTCTCTCAGTTTCAAGTAAATGGACAAATTTTTTTCACGCAGAGCAGCATCTCTGTTCCGTATTAATCAGCTGTTCTGTGAAATCATCTCATGGATCCATCCTAGCGGTTGCGTTGAAAAGGAACAGTAGCCCAAAATAATGCGGTGAAGTAGATGGCTAATGGCAAACAAATCAAGCCCATATTCTACCAAAACCCTAACTGTCGTCTAGTTTTGATCAAGCAGTCCCTATCAGCTGGTACTATTACGCCTTTCTTATGCTTTTCATAGTTCTTCAATCAACTTAAAAGAGATATTATATGCAAAAGTGCAATGAAGTCACTTGAGTATAAAAGTTTCTTCTGTGTATGTCATTTGATTCATGTTGTTTATCAAAGTTTTTCTTAATGCTAGGACCAACCGCCGGTTACAGAGTGCTGTGTGTTATACAAACACTATTACAAGTTTAATATAAGGACATTAATTTCACGGAGTTCTAAAAAATAAACATTTTTTTTAAATAAAGCTCAAGGAACTGCTGTAATTTATCACGGACCAATAACTTGGTTGCCGATACAGATGTAAAAGTGTTGTAATAGTAAGTCAGTATATGCTTCTGATAATTTTGAATAAAAAGAGAGGGTAATATGAATTACTGATGCACATGAAACAAATTACACTGTAACTGATGAACTAATTCGTTATTATGCAGTTTCTGAGAAGAATGAACTTGAGGTTACAACAAAGTTTTTTTGGGATTAAATGTTAAGTCTAAAATATGACTCGAATTTATCAACAAATAATTTGCTTGAAAAAAATGAGATTTTAAATTAGTTTTTTTTTCTTAACAATCTGGCCAGCCATTAACAAATAATTTTTAAAAATATGCAGACATCATCTAAAAATATACCTCCAAAATAACCATTTGTTTGAAAATACTAATAAGCAATAAAAAAATTCAAAAAAATCGAAAAAAAACATTGTAAAGTTGATGAACAAACTTAAATTTTTGACGTTAAACGATTGCTTTACAAACCAAGCAAAAAGTAAACCGAAATGCAAAGAAAAAAATAATAATGCTAAAACTAAACAGTCTTTTAAAATGCCAATAACAAAAAGTTGATGATTAGACGTTAAAAAGTCTCAAATAAAATAAAGAGTAAAATATGAAGCGATAAAAATTTAGCAGAAGCGTTTGATCAAAGAAATCATAACAGGTAAACTACGAGAACAAATTTTCAACTTTCAAACTGACCGTCTGTAAACGCTTTTGAAAAAACTAAGTTTAACTGGAGATTTAGTCATAAGACTAATACAGAATGTAAGGGATATGTAAACACAGTATGACGTACCCAAATAATACTTCCTCACACACTTCCTTAAACCAATAAGTCTGAATTTCTTCCTCAAATACCAGCAAAAATACAAAGATCTTACACGACACTCAGCAAATAAATTTGTTCAGTTTTGTTTAAGCCAAAATACGAAGTTGCAAGCGTAAAAACTGAATATAATAAACAACAAAGCAGAAAAGTTGTAAGACAGTCAACATCAAAGAAAAAAGTTTTTTTTCATCCCCTTAACATCATTTTACCGTATCTTACCACTTCTTCTTGCTAGTAATAATTTTATAAAACCTTAATTCTGAAGTACATACTTTTTAAAAGTTCAGACACAGCCAGAATTGATTTGCAGTTTTTCACCTTACGGTCCATAATTTCTGTTTTGTTCTGTAAATTCCCAATTAAAAAAGAAGAATCATTGATAAAAAACAGTGTGCAAGAATGTTCATTTGATGAGTTACAGCAATCGCTCACGACAAAGTTCAGAAGGCAACTATTTGCCGCTATGATTTCGTTACTAGTGAATCAACTGCTACCTCTTAATACGCATAGCTATAAGAAATATGAATAAGTTTGATGATCGGCTGTTAACAATGCCAACCATTTGCTTTAGTAAAAAAAAAAAAAACAAAATAAAATAAAAAAACTGATAATTAAACCATAAAGTTTTTATGTGTTGGGATATCAGTTGGCTCTATATGCGCGTTAAAAAAAACAACAATATCTGCTGAAAACGTTTTTTTTTTTCGACTTGTTGAGGTCAAAGCAAAGAAAAAAACAAAGATATGAATGCATAATGCCCAGGCAAGCCCTAAACAATCATAAAGGTCCATTTTTTTAAGTGATTATAGAGAATAAAAACTTTAAAATGTCAAAAAACTGTTGCCTTTTTCTTCTAGTCCCTGTCTACAGGACTCGAAATGCAGCGGAGGAAACTGCGTAAAATTTCCATCTATCTCCGTCAGCCAATTAAAGCAACTTGTTAAGAATAGCTGTTGAAAGGTCTAACAATGATCAAACAAATAATACGGTCTTCTGCAGCACCAAAACTTTCTACTCACTCTCTGCCTCAAAAAACCAGTCGATTCTTTATTGGAAGTAGACAAATAACGCAAAATAAAAAAAAACTTCTAAATTTTTTTTACTTCATTTTAACAATGAAATTTACCGTTAATTCGGAGGCAACATTTTTAGAAATAGGCATTGCTGCAATGCTGTGCCTGTTCGGATGATTCTGCGACTGGGATGCTCCGATGCCCAGTTGGCTAAGCCAGTCTGGCATGGTTAGTTGAGATAATCGTAAGCGAATTGCCGATAACCAACTAAAATACCAATACCTTCAGTTATACTACACATAGCAATCTCAGTTTTTCTCATATACATTTCCATACAGCTAAAAATAAAAGGAAAGTTTAGATGTTAGTATGACAAAAAAATTTTTAAAGCTCAAAATTTAAAAAAAAA